GGAAAATTATAAACAAATAAAAAATCAAATAGCAGGCTTGAACGAGGATCCAATCCAATATAATCAGAATTTAAATACTTGAGAATCAAGATCAAACCCAAATTAAACAATACGTGGATTTGATCCTGTCTAGGCCGTTCAAAGCATAACCCAAATGTGGACTAAGATTCCCTACTTCTACTTGTACAGTTGTACTTGTACACTTGGCACTTTTACACCCCCAGATAGATAAAAAAAAATTAACAAAAGATAATCATATTGATTAATAAGAGATCAGGAATTACACTCTGGTTTCAACTCAGCCATGAAAATCATACAATCGACACATAGTCAAAGACAAAGAAAGGGCCTTACTAGCCACAAAATGGGCTACTCTATTGTTATTCCGACATACGAACCGAACATGAAACCCACTATTCAGACCCATCAAACTGAGGATCTCATTAATAATAACCCCAACACGACTATCCCGCGCATCTTTGGCATTAATCTTATCAATGAGTATCTTCGCATCTCTTTCAAACCGCACTTGAGAAATGTCAAGAGTCTGACACCACTGAATAGCTTCACGGAGGACAATAGTCTCAACCACAAGGGGATCGACAATGTCATAAAAAACCAACCCTTTCGCTAAAATCACATTCCCACCGCCATCCCTCACAACCATCCCTCCCGCTGAATGTGAGCCTGGCCGTACCGCACCGTCCTACATACAGACGAAGGTGGTCTGCAAGAGACCCCGCCCCTGGACCACTCTATCCTTCGGTAAAGACACCCACTCATTCAACTGCTAATGGTATTGGCGCATCAAATGGGAAACCACGAATTGCTTCCCCTCAAAAGCCGCCCAATTCCTGGATTTCCAAATACGCCACAGGAGCGCCACCACGACCATAACTTGGTCTGGCCGGGTCATCCTAAGCAAACACTTCTTAGGGAACAAAGGGAAGGTCTCTCTAGGCAAACCATGCCCCAGATGGTCCAAACCCGAAGGATACCAGAAAGTTGCAGAGACTGGACACTCTCAAAAAAGGTGTTCCGTCGTTTCAGACTCTGTCCAACACACCGGACATCTTGGCATAATCTGGACCCTCTTCTCAATCAAGGCTTCCGTGGTAGGCATGATACGATTAAGGATTTGCCAGAGCAACAACTTAAGTTTAGGTGGGAGCTTGAGGTCCCACATTCTTATCCAACTCATCCTATCCATCCAGTTCACCCTAGGGCGCCATACCCCCACCTGCCAGATAGATAACCAATCTAATACTTTTGACAAATTTCATATCTACAAAGAACGAGAAATATCTATAATTCATACATAAAAAATATTTTAATTGATAATATGTATTTTGGAGTGGAATGGAGGAATTTTTTTATGAACTCTGAAGTTAAACATGCTTATTATGGAACACTCCAAGGATGAGTGACCTCTCAGAAAGTCACATTGATGTTCACCCCTGACCAAAACCCTCTGTGCCCCAAAGGTATAAAATATTTTATTTGGAAAAAGGTTTGAGATGTTACAACTTACAAGTGATACTTGTGCCTTTTCCCTCTTGGGCGATGAGTTAGGCAAACCTCAACGAGGACATTAAGTCCCTGAAGGGGCTGGTGTGTAACACTTTAGACAAATCTCACATAGTCACATTGACAAACCACGAGAAAGATCCATGATTCAAAAGCAAAAAACCGATTTTAATCGACAAGACGTGTTTTAAAATGAAATGACTGAATTTTTGTAAGAACTCTAAAGTTAAAAATATTCACGATAAAACACTACAATAATAAGCAACCTTACGAAAAATCACATTGATGAAACACTACAATAAAATCACTTCCACTACAAAAACCGTGGCAATCTACACCTAAAACCAACAATTATCTTATTTGGAAAAAAATTCAATTAATCCTCCCTTTTTATCCGGGGAAAAAACGTAACCCTAAACTTATGGATATAAAACGGATATTATTGTTTTTTCTCTCTCACTTCCTCCCTTCTTCTATCACGCTAGCCAGCCATCTCAAAGAGACGACACACAGAGCAAACACAGAGCGCCCCCGTTTACACCGTTCGTAAGTTCTCCCGAATCTTTTCTATTTCCCCTGGATCCGAATTCATCTGTTCAATCGTCAGCGAGGGTTCTGGATCCGATCCGAACCCAGGAAAGGCAACCATGACTAGGCGCTGCTCCCACTGCAGCCACAATGGCCACAACTCCAGGACTTGCCCCAACCGCGGGGTCAAGCTGTTCGGGGTCCGATTGACCGACGGCTCGATCCGGAAGAGTGCCAGTATGGGCAATTTGAGCCATTACACTGGCTCCGCTAATCCCGGCGGCGGTGGCGGTACGAACATTTCCGGGCTGAACGCGCCCGGATCGCCCGGCGGCGATGACCACGATCACGGCGGCGCCGGTGATGGGTATGCTTCTGAGGATTTCGTTGCTGGGTCGTCCTCTAGCCGCGAAAGGAAGAAAGGTTTGGATTGATTTTAGGATCCTTTTTTAAAATAATTTTCTGTGAATACTGAATTGTTTTTTGGATTGTGTGAGAAATTGTGATTTGAAATGTTTGAGGGTTTGTTCTTGATTCAATTTGTAACTTCATTTCTTCGTTGGTGAGGAAATGTAGAAGTTGGGCATCAAAGCAATCTCATCCGGATAAGCTTTCCCTTTTGGGTTTTGTTTTTTGGTGTCTTTTTCTCCCCTTTTCGTACAACAAGTTGAGATGTAGATGAGAATGGAATCAAGGAGGAACTTTAGTCAGATCAGGGGATTGAGATTAATTGAATTGGTTCACTATGTTAGTTCATAGATTTTAGTTCATCTAGGCAGCTGTGGATAAAAAATGTTTAGTTGGAAATGATAATTTATCTGCTGATCAGGGTTTGGAATGAAATGATCTTAAGTTAGTGGCTTCAATAAGGAATTCTAATTCAACCCAAAATATCAGTTAATCTCTCCGATCAATCGGTTAAGGTAAACATTAGGGTGATCGCTGCAAAAACTAACTTGGTTGAACAGCAATTTATTGCTCTCGTACAATGGATTGTTCTTTTATACAATGGATTTGCTCTAAGGATATGCTCTAGACAGTTCTTTGGTGAAGAATGCTTTCTTTGATTGACTATTGATTTGTTGTTGGAGTTTTCTATTAGCCTATTGTGTCTGTTCCTTCAACTAACATATACAAGTTCGAGCAGGTGTTCCATGGACTGAAGAGGAGCATAGAATGTTTCTATTAGGCTTGCAGAAGCTAGGGAAAGGTGATTGGCGTGGAATTGCACGAAATTACGTTATATCAAGGACTCCCACTCAGGTGGCCAGTCATGCTCAGAAGTATTTCATTAGGCAAAGTAATGTATCAAGGAGGAAAAGACGTTCCAGCCTTTTCGATATAGTTGCAGATGATGTGAGCACCACCCCTCCTTTATAATTTTTCTAGTTCTGCAATTAAGGACAAAACTGTATCCGCATGTAGTCAGCACTCTAATCATGCAATGGTGTGATCATTCTACTTTCTTTATTTGTAGGCTGCTGATACAGAGATGACAACTCAGGAGTTCTTGCCTATCAGCAATCCTGATGCTGAAACCCAGGAGGATGACGATGTAGTCCCTGCTTTGCCTCCTCCCTCAGTGGATGAAGAATGTGAATCAATGGAGTCGTCCAACTCCAACGAGGGTGACAGCAGTAGCTCTCTCCCTCCGAAGCCTGATCCCCTGCAACAACAGCATCAGCAGCATCAGCATCAGCAGCCACCTGTATACCCAGTTATGTACCCTACATACTTCTCCCCGTTCATCCCATTCTCTCTCCCATTTTGGCCGACTGGCTACAGTGCACTACCAGAGCAGCCGACAAAGGAGGGGACCCATGAGATTCTGAAGCCAACTGCTTTACATACCAAAAACCCGATCAATGTCGACGAGCTCGTTGGCATGTCGAAGCTGAGCCTAGGAGAGTCAATGGGTAGTTCAGGGTCCTCTTCACTGTCAGTAAAACTGCTCGAGGGGTCATCGTCAGGGCAATCTGCCTTCCACGCCAATCCAACAGCTAATAACTCGAGCAGCAACCCTCTGATACATGCTGTATGATGGGAGGCTTCTGGCAGGTGACTGTATAGAGAAGAAGGTAGCAGACTCGTGACGTGCAGACTGGTTTTTGGTGTTGTTTAGTGATTATATTGGTTTGTGGAGTGATCTTTAATAAGACTGCTGTGTTAAGTTAGGGTTTGACTGGTGTCTGAGTTGGTAGGTTCTTTGTAGTTTTTGTAGCATTTGTGTTGGTGTAGATGCTAGAGAAATTATTTGAATCTTTGACCTCTCAGTTAGTAGTGTTGCTTCTGGTTTTGTGATCCCCTTCTTGCTCTTGCCTTTGATCTTCAATACCCGATTCAGATAGAATCCAGATAGCTTGGGATTCAGTTAGTAGGGGTTTTAGAAAGTTACTCTCACCTGCTCATCTGTATAGGCAAGATACAATTCTGCAAAACATTCATCTTATCATTAGACCTTACTAATACGAGCTTTTTTGGTAAACTTTTTTTTCTTTTTTTTTGGTAAACTTACTAATACGAGCTTTAATATGGGTTCACAACATTTGAGAAATACATCAATTTTAAAAAATAAAGTCGTGATTACAATATCATAATCTTATCATTGTTGTTTGTTTGTTGAATGTCAGTAGATCAAACCTTGAATCGTACTCATTAACATCAACATTAACATTAAACCTCAGAACGTTATCCAATGCCAAAACAATACACCTTATAAATTCTTCCCTTTTGAATTATGATGTGTATGTAACTTGTATTTTTCGCTAATGATTTAATTTAATCTAATCTAGCTTGATAAACTAGTTTTTATGGATAACAAATTCTGGTTAAGTGGTTATCTAATTATCTTGCGCGCCTTCTAAAGCCCGCGAACCAAACCGCGAAATACACCAATCACCAGATCAAAGCCCAAATAAGGGCCCAACCCAACTCCATTCGCTCCGCCGCGAGAACTCCGACGTCAACCCAATCAAAGCTCCCGGGCAAATCCTCGGCGCAAAACCTCTGAGGGGCAGGCAGCCATGAATTCGATCTTCAATCTCCACAGAGAAACAAACAGATCATGGCCGAAGCGGAAACCCACAACCCAATCACTTCTCAGATCTCCCCTCTTCATCCTCGCGATCTCTCTTCTCACTCTCTTCCTCCTCCTATTCCTCTCAATTTCCACCTTCCAAACCTCCAAATCTCTCTTCTCTGCGCAAACGCTTAGTACCCAGAACCATCAATGCGGAAAAATCCGAGCTTCATCCCGGGCGGGAGAGAAGTTTCTCTGGTACGCGCCGCACAGTGGGTTCAGCAACCAGCTGTCGGAGCTCAAGAACGCGGCGTTAATGGCGGGGATTCTGAATCGGACTCTCGTCGTCCCTCCGATCCTCGATCACCACGCCGTTGTCCTCGGAAGCTGCCCGAAATTCCGGGTTACGGCGCCTAACGAGATTCGAGCTTCGGTTTGGAATCACGCCGTTGAATCGATGAAGAGCGGAAGGTACGAATTGTAGATACAATGCACTTTGCTTGAATTGCTTGTTTGTACGTTGTTGGTCACGGCTAATTGAGCTAGATTGGGTTTTTATTGAACAATTAGGGTTTACTGGTTCTCTTATTATCTAGGCAACTGCTTCTACTGCAGGTACGTATCAATGGCTGACATTATCGATATTTCGCGGCTAGAGTCTGCTTCGCTTCGTGTGATCGATTTCAGGGACTTTGCAGCCTCATTCTGTGGTGTAAATATGGATTCCACTTGTGTAAATGATCTGAAACCAGGGTCTTCTTCATTGTTTGATTCCCTTATGGAGTGTGGGAATGTGCTATCTGGGGTTCAAGGTAACGTAGGTGGGTGTTTATATGCAGTAGAGGAAGACTGCAGAACCACGGTATGGACTTATGAGAATGGTGATGATGGAAAGTTAGATTCATTTCAACCCGATGAACAGCTCAAGAGGAAGAAGAAGATTTCGTATGTAAGGAAACGTCGAGATTTGCTTAAGACCCTTGGACCGGGATCTGAAGCTGACTCGGCCACTGTTCTTGCATTCGGATCCCTATTCTCCGCTTCATACAAAGGCTCCGAGTCCTATATTGATATTCAGAAAGTAAAGAACGGAGATTTCATTCCGTTTGTCCCTAAAATACTGAATGCAGGGAAGAAGTTTGCATTGGAGAGGATAAGAGACCCTTTTGTTTGTGCGCAGCTGAGATTGTTAGATGGACAGTTTAAGAACCACTGGAAGGCTACATTTCAGGGTCTAAGACAAAAGCTTGAATCTTTGAACCAGGGGGATGGTCAGCCAGTGAACATTTTTGTGATGACCGATCTTCCTCGGGGTAACTGGAGCGGAACTTATCTGGGTGAGCTAGCTAGCGATGAGAAGCGGTTTAAGTTGCATTTTCTTTGGGAAGAAGATAGATTGGTTGCTGAAACAGCAAGGCAGCTAGCAAAGAGAGGCAGCAGAGGGAATGTGGATTGCCCTCGTCAGAAATCACCGGATGTTCTCTTGTACATAGAAGAAAGCGTCTGTAGTTGTGCATCCCTCGGTTTTGTTGGGACAGCTGGATCGACGATTGCAGAGAGCGTAGAGCTAATGCGGAGGTCAGATGTTTGTTCCATTCTTAATCGGACTGCAAGATGACACTCAGGTGCTGGGATACGAACGGAGTTGGGTTTGCCTCCAATGTACAAGCAACTACATGCGAGTCAGAACTGCTGCTGTTGTAAAATGCCGCGAAGTGTACTTAAAGTTGGAGGTTGATATGGTTCAGGCAGCTACTGTTTACTGATGCTTCAATCTACCAGATGAAAGAAGGAACTGATCTGGTAACAAATGGCAATTCTCAAGTGTCTCCTTTCTCCTGGTGCAAAGAAATGTAAGCTTTGAACTTATAACCATAGAGCTTTTACTAACCCAAAGTTACTTGAACGTTCACTCGCCGAGTTGCTGAATGATTATTTTTGTCCATTCCCTCCATTGATCCACCTCTGCTGTCTTTCTTTCAACCTTTTTTTCTTGTTGCTCGAGTACTTACTGGTTATGGGCTCTAGTCCCTTTCAGCTTGGCCAGTGTGAACCATGGAAGGAGACGACTCAGGATGGAGATGGGTGTGTGGATGGGTCATTGATTTTCATTGATGATAAGTCTGTGAAGTGGTTGGTTGTTGCTTTGTTTGCGTGATTGAATGAGCCTAGGTGAAAGTTATATCATCTTCATCACTGAGTCGTAGTTTTACTTTTAGTTGCAGGTTATCAGGCGTAAGTTCCCCATTAAGTACCATGGCCAAATTTGGAGTTGTACATGTGTGAAATAATGATAAGAAAAAGAAAGCGCCAGCCACGTTTCGCATGTTTTGCGGTGCTCGTTTCCTTTAATCGTTCCTCTTCGTCTGAAGCAGCTTTTGACACGATTCTGTGTTGGAAGAAAAACACGTGGCTATCTCTTTCTACCGACCAAAATTTCAAGGACATGCTCATTTAGACCATCTTTAGTGCTAAGTTCCAAAAATCTAAATTTTGGGCTAGAAATTCTAGCCCATCCAAAAGTCAAAAGTGTTGACACTAATAGTAAGTTCCAAAAGTTTAGAATTTCACAATCCCACTTTAACTCATAATTCATCCCACTTTAACTCATAATTCATTTTAGTGTAGATTTCATTATTCTAATTACAAGATTTGTTCATTATTTTTATTTAGGTATTAATAATTAATGAAGACGAATATTTTGATAATTTTTTTTAATTCAATAAAAAAAATGTAAATATGACATAATCAATGATAGAACCACACTAAAGTGGTTTTGGTTCAATTTTTTGGAATTTTAGAACCACACTAAAGGTGGTCTTATGGAATAGAACTCACCCGCCTAATCGGTAGGTAATAAGTTTACTTAGTTAAATACGATAAAGCTAGGGTATGATTTGACTAGTGGTACTTGTACAATTAGTTTGTGATGGTTACCAGCATAAAATATGTAAAACTATTAAAAAAAGTTTAAATCAAATGAACAATTTACTCGCAATTTATATTCATATTTAAATAAAATACAATATTCAAATAAAATAACAAATATTCATTTAAATACAATATTTACGTCAACCTCCAAATTTTTATATTTGAACCCAATAAATAAAATTCACATTTAACTTTTAAATTCATGAAATAAATCATAAGTTATATTTTTATTAATTGAATTCACTAAAACGGCGTCATTTTGTTTATAGGCTGAAAATCAATGATGCTGGTCATACCGATGGTATTCACGCCGATGTCAGGACCGACTCAACCGGCGAGCATTACACTGACATGACAACCATGCTTCAAAGTTTTACATGGATTATAAAATGTTTAAAATTAATAATTTTAAAATTAAAATAAATAATTAATTAAATCATCAATTAAATTTGTTAAATAATGTATTCCATGTGTTATCTATATTTAATACATGAAATATCAACTAAATAATTAATTAAATCATCAACTAAATAGTATGGGAATGAAAAAATTTAAACATATTAAGTATGTCATATTAAATGATTTTTTACTATGCTAGGCCACGTAAATGTTAAGGCCTTGCCTATTTTGTCGGTCCAGCCAGTTTGGCAGTTTGGTATAGGACGGTTAGACAGAAGAGAAATGCGAATTTTTCAACCATGGTACCATTTGGGGCTAACCTCTATGAGTCTATTTCTATATGTGAACGGTATATTCCAACAAAATAGAGGTAATATTCATTGAATAAAATATCCCACCTTACCTCGGGAACTACAAATCCGACGACTAGAAGGATTGGGATAATGACTTGTCCGATCTGACTCTCTTCTTTCTCTCTCTACCCGGTTATAGAAGAAAAGCGACTCTTTTCTACCCAACAACCAAACCTTATTTACGACACAAGGAAGACAGAGCCGGGAAACGCTCACATCTCTCTTGGGCTCGCTTTCGTTCTCTCCCAATCAGCAACCACCAAACCGCAAACTGCTTTCCTCCGAGTCGCCCGGCTTTCCGATTCCGAGCAAGAGTGAGAAATGGAGAGCGGCGGTGGCGTAGTCGATCACTTGGCCGACGAGCGGAGCAAGGCTCAGTTCGATGTCGACGAGATGAAGGTCGTCTGGGCTGGCTCCCGCCATGACTTCGAGCTCTCCGACCGCATCTCTCGTCTCGTCGCCAGTGATCCGGTAAGAAAAATCTGGAAACTGAACTTTTAGCTGCGGCCCTTTGACTTTTTAGTTGGCCAGTTTTGTACGGGGAGGATGATTGGAGGAAACGAGAAATGGGAATTTGAGGATTTTTTTTTAATACGTATTATTGGGAGAAAGTTGGGGTTTCGTTTCATGTGGTTTCTTGAGCTGTTTGGGTTCGTAGACCGCAGGGAAATGATGCGAGTGATCAAATTTGGGTTAATTGTGGATGATTACATGTGTGGATTCTTGGATTAGAGGTTTTGTGTACTCTTCGGGGACTTGCTATGACATGGATAGTTTCTGCTGGTATGAAATTTTGCAGGCGTTTCGAAAGGACAACAGAGTTATGATGAGTAGGAAGGAGTTATTCAAGAATACTCTGAGGAAGGCGGCCTATGCCTGGAAGCGAATCATTGAGCTTCGTCTTACTGGTGCATTTCTATGATTTTGGATGCGATTATCGGGCACTATTTACTAGTTGTTGCGTTGATGTGGAATGCGGGTGGGTAGTTCATGTAGTATTGTTAGCCATCTTATAGTATGCTGGTGTTGATGTTGCAGAGGAAGAGGCGAATAAGTTGAGGTTCTATGTGGACGAGCCAGCATTCACCGATCTTCATTGGGTAAATAATCTAGTCCAATTTTCTTCCTCCCTGAAATTCATGTTTCGAATAGTTTCAAATGATTACAGTTTTACAGTAGAGTTGTTATTTATACATGTTCCATGTTGATTCCTCTACATATTTGTCATCCAACTGATGGCAGGGCTTGTGTGGCTTGGGTCTGTTTGTGTGTAGGGAATGTTTGTGCCGGCTATTAAAGGGCAGGGGACAGATGAGCAACAGCAGAAATGGTTGCCCCTGGCACACAGGATGCAGATAATCGGCTGTTATGCACAAACCGAACTAGGTCATGGTTCCAATGTCCAAGGGCTTGAAACCACTGCCACATTTGATCCCCAGACTGACGAATTTGTCATTCATAGTCCCACCTTAACTTCAAGCAAAGTGAGTAAGAAAGGCTGAAACCACTGCATTTGAGATGTAAACATTATGATTTTCTTTCCTGCTATGCAAGGAAGATGCATTGGTACAATGTTAGTTTTGATGCAACGTTAAAATGTCTGTTTTGTGGCTGTAGCCTGAAACTGAATAATGCTTGTGCTTATGTAGTGGTGGCCTGGTGGATTGGGTAAAGTGTCAACCCATGCTGTTGTTTATGCACGTCTCATTACTGATGGTCAAGAACATGGAGTGCATGGTGAGCAAAATCACTTTCCTCCTATTAACACATGTGAATTGTTGATCTATTTAATAATGCTGAAATTTAAATTTCAGGTTTTATCGTCCAGCTCCGTAGCCTGGATGATCACATGCCTCTACCTGGCATAACAATTGGTGATATTGGCATGAAGTTCGGGAATGGTGCCTATAACACCATGGACAATGGTGTTTTGCGTTTCGATAATGTGCGCATTCCGAGAGATCAAATGTTGATGAGGTTAGTTCTCTTAGTGTGTCCCCCCCCCCCCCCCCCCCGATAAGGTCAATGATTAATGTCATGGCATAGACTGTCCACGGTCCTAGGAAATGCATCCGAAATGCCACGATTTTATTTTATTTGCTTTAGCATGAAACTTAAACTTAATTGTACATTTTTGCTTCTGTGTAACATAAGCAATGACCGTTCAGTTTGGTATCCAGGAATAAAAATAGGGAGTTTGATCATGAGCTAGTCATTCTCTCCGAGAAGATACGAACAAGAATGAGAACTTAGAAGGCCAAATGGCACTCCTTGCTCAGCTATCAGGCGAAGCCTAGTCTAGATTTCCAATCATTCTCATTGCTCATGTATTTTCTGCCAATTTGGACCTTTGATAGGGTACTGCAAGTTACAAAGGAAGGGAAATGTGTCCAGTCCAATGTCCCTCGGCAGTTGATATATGGTACCATGGTTTATGTGCGACAAACAATTGTGGCAGATGCTTCTCGTGCTTTATCACGAGCAGTTTGTATCGCCACAAGATATAGTGCTGTTCGCAGGCAATTTGGTTCTCAAAATGGTCTCGAGACACAGGTAAATTTGAGAATTTGTTGTCAATTCTTTTGGTGAAGAAAACTTAGTTAAGCCTATTTTGTACCAAAACTTAAATTTGGCCATAATCCTTTCATCTCTTTTCTATGGTTATGTTTTCCTCTGTTACCTTCTGGATATTGGAGACATGATTCTGGTCCTGCAAACATTTTGGGCTTGCCTCTAACCAACTGATCGGAGATTAGTAGCTCGGAAGATGTCCCTCACAGTTGTTTTGGCTGCTTGTTCTGTTCCAGGTGATTGATTATAAGACTCAGCAAAGTAGACTCTTCCCTTTGATCGCTTCTGCATATGCTTTCAGATTTGTCGGTGAATGGTTAAAATGGCTCTACACGGATGTCACACAAAGACTGCAAGCCAATGACTTCTCTACTTTGCCCGAAGCACATGCCTGTACTGCTGGTTTGAAGTCTCTGACTACTTCTGTCACTGCTGTATGTGCTCACTATCTTCTTCATTATAACTTAACAATTTGAGGTTTATGAAATGCAAGCCAAACCTGTATCCTTTACGTCCTCTAAGTTCGACCTTGTGGTGTTCGATAGTTTATTAGTTCTAGTTTGTCTTGATAAACTTATTTTGGAAAGGGCTGTTGACCAAGACAAACTATCTGTTGCCTCAGGATGCAATTGAAGAATGTAGGAAATTGTGTGGCGGCCATGGTTACCTTTGCAGCAGCGGGCTTCCTGAGTTGTTTGCAGTCTATGTTCCTGCCTGTACATATGAAGGAGACAATGTTGTGCTGCTCTTGCAGGTATAGAAATTCATGGTCTCTTGCTGCTTCTTTTTACCTAAGATGTAGATATATTTTGTAAGAAATGTTGAGTAAGAATTTCAAACTCTGTCCTCAATTGCCTTCGTTGAGACAAGCTGCCTTCTTCCTTCCCTATTGTCTACTCTGTTATCCCTGTTATGAGAGGTGAAATGTATACAGGGGATCTTTACCTGATATATTCCATTTGATTGGGTGGGACAGATTATTTCTAGCATATAGTATTTGTAACCCTTATTCTGGGCTGAAATTTTATTTGGTCTAAATTCTAGGTGGCAAGATTTCTGATGAAGACTGTTGCTCAGCTGCCTTCTGGAAAGAAACCTGTTGGAACAACAGCTTACCTAGGGCTCGTAGAACATCTTATGCAGTATCGCTGTGGTGTTCAGAATGGTACCGAGTTTTAGTCCTTGCCTTGTTAGCTATCTCCGCATTCATATATGTCAACTGTTGCAGGGATAGTGAAAATCATCTTACTCCTTCATATTTCCAGCTGACTCCTGAAGTATCAACTCCCTAGCTTATATGCTGTTCTTATATACCTGGAACATAATTTGGTGTTTTGATAATAACTATTTTATTTGACGCAGCTGAGGATTGGCTGAACCCTTCTGTGATACTTGAGGTATTTGAAGCCAGGGCTGCTAGGATGTGTGTTAACCGTGCTCAAAAGCTTGGCAGTTTTCCGAACCCTGATGAGGGTATATCTTCTTCTTAGCTCATTTGCTTTTAAAGTTGTTTGACTCATCTTATCTGACTATACCAGTTGGCCTCTTTATTCTGTCGCCGTATTTCGGTCCTTTATGTTGCTTCTCTTGCTTAGATCTTTTGCTTGATATGGCCTTAAGTTTTCATCTGATATCTTGTACCGTCTTTCTCCTTTCTGTCCAGGTTTTGCAGAACTTTCAGCTTTCTTGGCTGAGGCTGCTGTCGCTCATTGCCAATTGATTGTTGTCTCTAAGTAAAGCTCCCACTTTCCCATGACTCTGAACCAACATATTTAGTCCGTAAACATTCTCGTAAATCTGTGGCAACATGTAACCAATGTTTCTAAAATTCAGGTTCATTGAGAAATTGCAACAAGATATACCAGGTGGGGAAGGGGTGAAACAGCAGTTGCGTAACCTCTGCAACATTTACGCCTTGAACCTCATCAACAGACACCTAGGGGATTTCCTCTCCACTGGTGCCATTTCTGCAAAGCAAGCTTCCCTAGCAAATGATCAGCTTCGGTCATTATTCTCTCAGGTGCGCAATATTTTTCACTCTGCTTCATATCTATCTCTTCTTGCCGGAAGAGAGTTAAGTAACATTAGACTTATATCTGGACACTGTCTGGAGTAACAGGTTCGTCCCAACGCAATTGCACTTGTCGATGCATTCAACTACACCGACCACTACCTGGGATCAATACTTGGGTGTTACGACGGAAATGTGTACCCGAAACTGTACGAGGAGGCGTGGAAGGATCCTCTGAATGACTCTGTTGTCCCCGATGGCTACCAAGAGTACATACGCCCCATGCTGAAGCAGCAGCTCCGCAACGCCAGGCTCTGAAACTCAGTTCGTTCGTGGCTCGTCACAAGTAATAAAAGAGCAGAAAGAGCAAGGTCCGTGTTCCTGTATTGAATTCTGCCAACCGAACTGCCCAGGTTAAGGTGGGGAAATAAAGTCATTGCCTTGTGTTTTCTTTTATAGTTAGTTTGTAACGGCACTTCCGTTAGCATTCTGATAGAGTTTATTCATCGGCATCGAAAATCATGCCTAGACCACAAAGTGCTTTTATGTGATATAGTTGAGTTGGTACTTTTTAGGCGACGATTTCAGTAATATCCGTTGCTGTTTCTTGCTCAAGTATTGCGGGTCGAGTAGTGAATGCTTACTGATGACCTTGGCATCCGAAGGAGGATAGGCAAGTCGTCATGATATGAAAACTACTTGTTAGACGCACACGTCTAGTCACGATATCGGAGTCTTATTTGCGACGACCTAACTGGTGGTAGGACTAGTCTTGGATTGTGCATAGAGAAGACGTGATCAGACTTTTGCTCCATACCCTCTCCGAAACTGAAGTCGGTATTTATGATCAGTTCACGCGACAACCTAACATAGACGACTTTATCTTGGCGACGTTCCTAAAGTGAAGGGAACAAGTGTGGATCATTAGTTCACTTGATATTTGACAGGAAGTAAGCAACGAATGTTCTCATTCCTTTCCCCAATCATCAAGTTTTATCAGCGTACCATATTCTCCAGTTTGCGTTTCAGCTGCCAGTTTTCTTATTCTTCTTGTTGATTACCCCTCAAACTTTCTTGCGTTTCAGCTGTCATCACAGCTAACCAGAGTTTTCAGTGACCAACCAAAAGAAAACGTCAGAAAATACATATCAAACTTAAAGTTGTGTTGGATTAACGTCTGCATGCAAATAATATATCCCTCGCTTAACAATTCCATGCACCTTCTTTTATTTTAACTTACCTTCACATCTGTAAAGAATCTGATTCGACTCGAGAACCTGCTTTTTGCAACCAAAAGAAGAAGGAAAAGTGCTCAAATGGGGGAAAATGTGTTCATCACTCGCTCGATCATATACCTATATATGACGACGAGCAATCAACCGTTCCTCTTAGTATCTGAGCCATCCGGCATAAAGCAATTATCCGTCAACGTTTCTCCTAAATTCGACGAAGGAATACTCGTCACTAAAACTACCATTCAGAGTATGTATTTGCCTTCACTTACGCATACATTTATATACTTGCTAAATTGTGCATTTGTGTTTATCTTAACCGAGTCGTTCAACCTATTCATGCCTTTTGAGGTTACAGAAAAGAAAAACAGTTATACATATGGAAGCGTTTACCAGCTCTTTAGCGACGATTATCTTTTACGCCGTGGCAAAAGAATCGCAGATTTCTGATGGCATGTTTAGCAGCGGTCAGCTGCTAATCGATTATCTCATTTTTTATGAAGCTGTTGCATTTCTAGGATTTTCCAAATTACAATTTTCAGATATACATATCTCATGAATTTTGGTACTTTTTTTTGTTGCATATAATTTGACTATAGTTACGAGGACTAACATAAGTTTTATACGATCGCGAAGGAATGACTTCAAATATAAGAGGAGCAGCGACGGTTGCCGCACTGGTGCTTCCATTGATTCTCCTCTACAAGCTGTTGTGGTCTCGAAGGAGAAGCACTTCCAATGATGAAACCAGCGACGACAACAATTGCGATAGCACCAGTCAATTACAGCCAGATTCACAGCTGCCCCTTCCCACGGCGCAGTACTTTGACCCCACTGATTCTTCTGATTTGTTACCCTTTCCGTCGGTGGAGTACGAGGTGTTTTTGAGCTTCAGAGGTCCAGACACTCGTCATCAAATTACGGATATCCTGTTTCGTTTCCTTGTTCACTTAAAAATCCACACGTTTAAGGATGACGATGAACTCCGCACGGGGGAAGGAATATGGCCATCTCTCGTTAAGGCCATTGGCCAGTCCAAGATTTACGTTCCGATATTATCGAAGAGTTATGCTCATAGCAGATGGTGCCTCAAGGAGCTCGTCGAAATTGTTGAAAACATGAGGCAGGACAAGAGGCGCATCGTACTTCCAATTTTTTACATGGTCGACCCGAGGGACGTACGACATCAAACCGGCCCTTATCGGGATGCGTTTCGGGAACATGAGAAGAACTTTGATCGACAGACCATACAAAATTGGAAAGCGGCTCTAACCACGGTAGGAGCTTTGAAAGGATGGCACGTTACGCATAATGACGAGTATGTACCTTCCATACCCTAGCTCTTATTATCACATTTATTATTTGATTCATTCATTTTTTGGGGTCATTGATTTGTTATGGTTTTTCTTTTCGATAATTCGCGCCTCCTCATTTGAGTAACAAGGGAAATTAAAGAGGGCTGGTGTTTAGATGGCAATTAGGATTCAAATTCATGAATCCTATCCAATCCATCCACCAAATTAACCACCTAATCCAATCCATTTTATCCAAATTCAATTGGATTGGTGGATTTATGGATCAATCCATGGATCCAAATGATAAATTACGATTTGATACCTATATTTTTTATATTTTACATTTTGATACCTAAAATTTATATTTTTATACGAAAATAACATTGGAAAATAACATTTTGGTACCTAAAATTTTTCATCGTGACATTTTAGTACCTAAACTTTTCAAAATTTACATTTTGGTCCAAGCCATGGATGTCATTTGGATTCGTGGATCTATCCACCAATCCATTTGATCTAATCCATGAATCCACCAATCCATTGGATCCAATCCATTTTATCCATTGATCCACCAATCCAATCCACGAATCCGATCCAATTGCCACTGGGTATTACTTGAACTAGTACTCATTGTCGAGAATTTATTTGATTGATTTTTTGGCAACGCTTTTCAATTTTCAGGCAAAGTAAATATGCAGATCTTGTTTCAGATAGTATATGGTCACACCTACGGAGGTTCTATTGCACCGTAGAAACAGATGAATTGGTTGCCATTGATGGTCATGTAGAAGAGGTAGTGAAGAGACTAAGTTTAGACTTTAAAGACGTGACAATGGTTGGACTTCATGGCATGGGTGGGATTGGCAAGACCACTCTTGCGAAAGTTGTCTATAACAAAATACTATCTCACTTTGACCGTTGTAGTTTTGTGGAAAACATACGAGAAACACAACATCAAAATGATGGTATTTTCAAAATACAAAAGAAGATAATAGAAGATGCTACAAGAAAGGAGGACCGTGTTTGTGATGTTAGTCAAGGAAGGAGAATTATAATGGATAGAGTTTCACAATTCAAAGTTCTTATCGTTCTTGATGATGTCGATGAAGAGTTTAAATTTGGAGAGGTTGTGGGGAATCCTCGGGGCTTTGTTTCTGGAAGTAGATTTATTGTGACTTCAAGAGACTGCAAAATGTTAAGTAGATTGAATGAAAACAAATGCAAGTTGTATGAAGTTCAAGCACTGAGTCCTTCTCACTCGGTTAAACTCTTCAGCAAGCATGCGTTTAAGAAGGATTATCCCCCACCGGATTATGAAATATTATCGAGCGACATTGTATCCACTATGGGCGGACTTCCATTGGCACTTGAGGTTGTAGGATCGCTTTTGCACCGAGAAGAGAAATCGATTTGGGAGGCAAAATTGAAACAGCTAAGAGAAGTGCCTGAGAAACATGCCATAGAAAGATTAAAAATAAGTTACGATGCATTGGAATATGAGGCAAAAGAGATATTTTTGGATATCGCTTGTTTCTATATTGGGAGAAAGAAAGTAAAGCCTTTCTATATGTGGAATGACTGCAACTTCAATCCAACCATTAACATTAATCTTCTTATTCAGAGGTCGATGGTCAAAATTGATCAAGATGGTTGTCGATTTCAAATGCATGATCAATTAAGAGATATGGGCAGAGAAATAGTTCGTAGAGAAAATATTGAATATCCATGGATGAGGAGTAGAATATGGACGGTAGAAACAGCTGTAGAGTTATTGCATGAAAAAAAGGTATTGTTCCCAACATGTTTTACTCTTCTATATGGTTATATATAGAGTGCATATCTACTTCAAATCTAAATTTGCTAAATGATACATGTATATATAATTAGATAAGCTTGTTTATAGCATAGTTAGTACAAATGCATGTTCCCATGTATAGTACTCACATACGTACTTTATGCATTTTTTTTTTAATTTCTTAATTATTATATCGTCTCATTTCCCTTCATTCCTTTGATGATTTCGATCCGCGTGTATTAAATGCATATAAAATGTGTATAACATGTTCATTATTCTTATTCAATGAATTATACTAGTAATTGACTTATTAATATAATTATGCATATATCACTAACATATTGATTTAATTTTTAAAAAATTTCCTATATTTATGATAAGCCGATCTCCTTAAAGATATCAACTCTGGCTTATATTTAATAATTATTTTTTGGGTTAATGACTTGTTCAGGGATCAGAACAAGTTAAAGCAATTGAGGTAACAACACCACGGCCTTATACAAACTTGGCAAGTGAATGTTTTGTGAACTTATCAAGTTTGAGGTATTTCAAAGCACCACCTGATGCAAAGTTGAAAGGTGACTTTGATAATCTTCTTCCCAATTTAAGATGGCTTAAAATGAGATATCATCGAGGTAGGTTGGGTGATGATGATCATCTAATCAATTTTCATATGAAAAAATTGGTTATTCTTGATCTCAGCGGTAGCGATGTTTGCAACGATTGGGGAGGCTGGACCCATTTAAAGGTATTTATATTATATTATTTAATGATTAAATGTTATATACATAACATTTATATATAGGTATTTTTTTTTATTTCCGAGTCATTTATATATGGGTATATAGTTTTGTTTTTTGTGCACTCACTTTTTGGTTGTATATTCAATTCACTCGTCTCATAATCATCATTTTGAGTAGGCGATTCATATAAAAACGATGTCAATCATCACTTGTGGTTTGATGGACAAGAAAACACATGAATTTTGTACATTCATTCAAGATTTACTTTAATTTGAATGATGGATAATGTCTATTTTTTATCCAAAACCTTTTTAGATTCTTTTATATTATCCAAACATATCAAAATACTAAGGGGTCGTTTGTTTGTTGGATTTGAAAAATGAGGGTTTTGGCTCAAAAAAACCTTTGGATTTATGAGGGATTTGTAGTTTTGTACCATCATGGATTTGAAGAGTCTATTGTTCGCATGATAGATTTGATGATATAATTATGATGGATTTGCTATAAATATAACTAACCATCAAGGATTTACAAATCCCACCCCAATATGTGGGATTTACAAGTCCGTGGGGTCCACGGATTTGGATCCAAAAATGGGAACAAATCCGTGGACCCCACGGATTTAACACTTGACAACAAACAATGGACTTGGCTAAAATCCATCATGCTTGGGATTTGAGTCCCAAATGCATGAACCAAATCCATCAAGCAAACAACCCCTAAGAATTAACCAAATGTTAACTTTCAGTTAGCAATTTTGTTAGTAATATTAAATTGGCAACATGATATTGACTTGGAAGAGACACATGAAGGTCAACATTGCAAAATTTTAGTATTTTATCTAAGAAAAGAGTTACAAAATTATTAACGATCGCGCGATAACATAAAAATGGCTAATATTTTGATACATTACGAAAGATTTGACCAATTAATAGCATTTAATAGGTTTGGATAATATAAAAGAGTTTGAAAAATATTTGGATAAAAAATAGACATTACCCTTGAATGATTTAGGGTTAGAGTTTAGGTTGACAATTGAAGGTTTTAGGTTGAGATTCAAAATTAGAGGTGACAATTTGTGATCCAGTCCATCCTCTTAAATATCCAACTAATCCAATCCATTTAGATTGGTAGATTCATGGATCACCAATCATGGATTGATCCATGAATCCAAATGGAAAATTACAATTTAGTACCTATACTTTTTATACTTTTCATTTTGGTACCAAAAAATTATTTTTTGGCAAAAAATATGATTAGAATACCTAATTTTTTTATTATGACATTTTGGTACCTAAACTTTTCAGAATTTATATAATGGTCCAAGACTTGGATGTCATTTGTATTCATGGATCAATCCACCAATCCACTTGACATGAATCCACCAATCCATTTGATCCATCCATTTGATCCATTAATAAACCAATCCAATCCACCAATCCATTTGCCACCTCTATTCAAAATTGAAGGTTAAGGGGTTAGGATAACGGATTGATTTGTTTAATTCTATGTTATATCATCATATTAGACTAATGCTACAAATTAAAGTTCAAAATTCGATGTATATGAGCACTTTAAGATTTGAGTGCATTCAATACACCAAAAAATGAGTGCACCGAAATAGCCACCATATATATACAAAAATGTTTATATGCATATATGATCCTCTATACTATACCCTCTCCCCCCAAATTAATAAGTTTTAGGAGTAAAACAAATCTAATAGACAAACCTTTCTTTATTTTGCTTGCAGATGGCCAACAATCTAAAAACTTTAAATCTTTCCAAGTGTGGTAGACTGACAAGACTTCCCGAGCTACCACAATCTGGAAGTCTAGAGGTGTTAGATCTCAGTTCCTACAGATGGCTGAAGTCTACGAGGGACGATGAGCTGGATATTGGCAAGCTGAGGAACCTAATGGTGCTCCGTCTTCCCAGAGCTTGTATAAAAAAGATAACAGGCGGAACAATTGGAACGATATCAAAGGGTCTCCGAGAGCTCGATGTCGAGGAGTGCGAGTGCGAGAACCTCGCTCACGTTCTCGCGGATGTTGGCGAATTGCAGTCTCTTCAAATCTTGAGAACGAGATCGGCCAATTGGAAACAAGGAACTCACCAACAGGTGTTGACGAGGAGACTTGCCGCCGGTTCGAGTAATTTGAAGGAGCTCACCACTTCGTCGTCTCCAGTTGTTGATCTCCCACGGTTGCTGGAATTAGAAACATTAGTTGTCGAGAGCTGTGAATATGGGCTCGAGATCCCAACCCCAGCAGAAGACGACCACTATGCCAACAATCAAGTGTTGCCATGGTGGAAGATATCCAAGTTGAAGTATCTGCGGCTCCACGAAGCTTCCAGAATGTGGTGCAGTAGTGGTACCAACAACAATCCTGGTAGCAACTGCAGACTTCCATCAGCTCTAACCCGCCTCCATATTATTTGTTGCACTCAACTGGAGTGGCTGCCGAATCTGGAGAACATGGAGAACCTGATCGAATTAATCATCGAAAATTGTCCCATGCCCCGGGAGATTCAAGGTCTCGGCAGCCTAAAATCGTTACAAACTCTACAGATATCCGATGTTGCGAATTTACGTCGTCTTGACGGCCTGTCGACGAACAACAATGGTCATATGCGGCAGTGTTCGTCGTCTTTGGCTGTTTTGGTACTGGAACGTTGTGGCGCGTTGGAAAGACTACCTAGCTTCAGCCAACTGAGAAAATTGTTCACCTTAAACATTGTGGAATGCCCTCTTCTCACTGAGATCCCGTTGTTGGGTTGTCTATTATCTTCTGCTAACAAGTTACAAGAGTTGTGCATACAGGACTGCCCTCGTCTCGCAGCCTTATCATTAATCACAGGATCAGTAGCCACCATGCCATCTTCGTTACAACGCCTAGTCATAACCGGTTGCACATCCCTGCTGCAAGAAAGAAGATGGCCAGTTCAGATCCCCAATTTGTCCAACTTCCCCAGGCTTAGGATCTTGCACCTCAAAGACATGAGAATTGATGGTAAGCAGTCGGTCGCCCTGGAAGGGCTTGAGTGTTTGGAAGAGTTGGAGGCACTGATTTTGGGTAATTTGCAGCCACCAGTAGAGAGACTGCCGTCACTTTCACATATGACCAAGTTGATGAGTATAGAAATCATGGACATGCCAAGTTTGAGGGAGATTGAGGGCTTTGGTAGCCTCATGTCTTTGTTCATTGTGAAGTTGAGAAATTGCTCATCTTTGGAAAGGCTTGAATTGTCCGGTTTGAGGAAGTTGCGTAGTTTACAAATCATGGATATGCCAAGCTTGAGGGAGATTGAGGGCTTTGCCAGCCTCAAGTCTTTGGCCACATTACAGTTGACAGATTGCACGTCATTGAAAATGCTCGATTTGTCCGGATTGGAGAACTTAGAGGTACTCGATATCAGTAGATGCCCGAAATTAGAGACAGTAGCGTTGTCTTCACTCTCGAATCCGGGGAAGTTGCGTAGTTTGGAAATCATGGAGATGCCCAGTTTGAGGGAGGTTGAGGGCCTTGCAAATTTGAAGTCCTTGCAAACATTGAATTTGAGAGGATGCACTTCATTGGGAAATGTTACCTCACTTGGAACAACTCTTGCAGTTGGAAATGATAAATGTTGAAGGATGCACCAACTTGACTCATCTTTCTGCTCTCATCAGTAACTTACCTGCTAGAGTAGTGATATATCACTCGGTGCCTATCTTGGAAATTGATTAATAACTCATTTGTGGATGCACACGACAAGAACAAAGTTATGTACCATCGGTTTTTCCCACACCAGTGTTGGTTTTAACCGACGGTAAATATGCTCTCGACTGTCAAGTGAAACCATCAAGAGATCTATGGACACTAAATTTTTTTATCGCTTTTGGGAAACCGATATACCAACTGGCCTCATATTTTAGTGTTTGTCCAAATCAATGGTATTTGTACTATTAACTGACTGTAAACCCAAACTACAAGAAAAAGTAGTTTTAGCAATCAAAACCTTACCAACCAAATAATTAGTCGTGAAGGATTGGTCGACATATGTATTTTTCACGGCCAAACTTTATGCTGTGTTAAACTTTCATAACTCAAATAATTAGTCTCCGAAAATGATATAATTGGTTGAGGTAGATGTTTTTCACGACCAAATCTCAATGTTGTGTTTAAATTTTATAACAAAGATAATTAGTCATTTAAAATTATATAATTGGTTGACATATGTATTATTCACGACTAAATTTCATGGTTGTGATAAATTTTGATAACCAAAATAATTGGTTGTCATAATGGTATTATTGATCGGCATATTGTTATTTCCCAACCAAAATGAATGGCCATCTATGACACTTAAATGAATTTCTTTGTCACCAAAATTCTTGGTTACTAATAGGGATGGCAATCAAACCCATGCCCACGGGTATCCGACCGCCCCCGACCCAGTCAACGCGGGGAATCCCCGTTTTGACTAGGTATGGGGCGGGTATGGGTAAAACCCGCAAAATGTTTGATGGGTATGGGGCGGGTATGGTTTTAGCCTCCCCCGCCCCATACCCATACCCATACCCGCCCCACCAAGAATATTTGTTCACATATAAAAAAATACATGGATGAAATAGTAAGCTATCAATGATAGTGAGGGTAAATAAAAAAAATAATTAGTAGAAATGCAATTGAGTGGTCACCCAAATCAAAACCTAATTCATTTTCCTCAACTCTCTCTTCACTCTTTCACTTTTCCCTCGTGTTAGCAAGATTATATTAGTTCATTATTGCTTAGTATATGTATTAGAGTCAGATAAATAATGATTTGGATTACATTGTAGTACTCTATTTTATGGATTAAGGGAAATTTTAGGATAATGAAAATTTACATGTAAATTTTATGTATTATAATGTTGGATGTACGGGGCGGGTATTACCCATGGGTACCCGAAACCCACGGGTATGGGGATGGGTTTGCAAAATCTTCCCCGCATGGGTATGGGGCGGGTATGGGTTTGGATATTTGAAAGCGGGGATGGGGATGGTTTAGACAAACCCGCCCCAAACCCGCCCCATTGCCATCCCTAGTTACTAAAGTCATATAAATTGGCTGTCATTAGTATTTGTGACGACCAATAGCATAGATTTATCAACCAATATTCAGAACTATGACAACAGAAAAACTCATTTTGGTTGCGCTGGGAATTAGTAATGCAGATATAGCAACCAATCCTGCTATTAAATTATTTTAGTCACAAAAATGTATAGTAACCAATATTCTGCTTTAAAGACTAATTAATTTGGTTGCTAAAACCCTTTTTTATTGTAGTGCCAAGTCGCAATTGCACAAAATTGCCCGACGTCAATCCCGAATAACCCGCCGGGAAAACAAGTTTGACCAAAGTTGAACCATTGTTAGTACATCCTGTATCTTTTAATTATGCTTTCAGAACTCTGTAATCTCCATTCAATTTATCCAAAAAGGAATTTCACAGTGACTTTTGTAACTGTTGGGGGTGTTGCTAAGAGACTCCCCGCAGAGACTAAATAATATCGCGTCCAATCGACAACAGATGACGCTCTAAACCCGCTACGAGTATATAAAGGTATGAAACCCACCAAGGAAGGGGACTTCGGCCCTCTCTCCTCACTTTCCACTTTCTACTATCTCTCTACACTTTATCTCTCTATCTACTCTCTCAACTCCCTCCACAAACATACACTGACTTGATCGTCGGAGCTTAATCCGGGGGCAACCCCGGCTCTTTCACAGGTTCTCTCCCTCCCGACGAGATCGGACGAACGGATGACGAGTCGACCCACACCAACAAATATCATTGTTCGTGTCCTGAGCTAGATGGCACAAACAATTGGCGCCCACCGTGGGGCAGATTTCACATTCGTTTGCTTGATTTTCGAAGGAGGCGAGACCCAAAAGACAAAGGGGAATGAGAGGGACGGCTGGCGGATCTTGTAAAGGGATCACCTTTCCCCCACCAACTCCAAGCCACGGCAACACTTGGAAAAAGAAAATGAAGAGTGCTCACATCTACATTGGAGGGGCCAACAGAGAGAAGAAAAGAAAATGAAGAGGGATCACCTTTCCCCCACCAACTTCAAACTTTGCATCTGCTTCTCATACGCCATGCCTGCTAGGCTACAGTAGTCTTATCTCACTTTCTCTCTTCCCGAGGAAAGTGGATTACATGCAAGAGATTCCGCCACCGCCCGCGTCGCACCAGGCGCACTCCACCAGCCCATGCGGCCCAACCAAGTCGCGGCCAGCACCGCACACTCCACCAAGTCGCTGCCCGCACGCACTCCACTAGCCCGCGCGGCCCAACCAAGTCGCGGCCCGCGCGCACTCCACCAGCGCGCTCTGCCCAACCAAGTCGCGGCCCGCGTCGCACACTCCACCAGCCCGCGCCGCACCAGGCCCAATCCTTCATGCGGCCCTGACTCCACTTGCGGGCCCGCGCCAATCTCCACACCGCGTCAAAAATATTGTTGTCGCCACCAGGATTTGAACCCGCGTCACTCCTCTACTAGACAAGCAACATCACTAGCAGGCTACATGCGCGCCTGGTGATTTGTCTCCGTGCTCAAACATATACAACCTGTTTCCCGCGCAACAGAGTGAAGCTGTAGAGCGCAAAGCATCACAAAAATCATGCGTTTGGTTGGGGATTCCAACCAAGGTTCGATCACTCGCGTGCAAGCAACATTACCAACAGGCTACCAGCGAGCCTTGTGTTTCAATGGTGCGGCGTCTGAATTTTAACATTCGCGCTCACTCAGTTCGCAAGAACAAAAAATTAGCAATAGTCCATCACTATTCGCGCCCACTCAGTTCGAAAGAACAAAAAATAGCAATAGTCACGCACTATTCGCGCCCATTCAGTTCATAAAGAACAAAAAATAGCAATAGTTCCGCACTATTCGCGCCCATTAAGTTCATAAAGAACAAAAAATAGCAATAGTCCAGCACTATTCGCGCCCATTCAGTTCGAAAGAACAAAAAATAGCAATAGTCATGCACTATTCGCGCCCACTCAGTTCGAAAGAACAAAAAATAGCAATAGTCATGAACTATTCGCGCCCACTCAGTTCGACGGAACACAAAGTAGCAAAAATCATGAATTATTTGTGCCCACAAAGTAAAAAAAAAAAGACAAAAATGGCGTTCTCAACAGCCTCCATTACCACACACGCGGCCCACAATCTCTCCAAGTGTGCACGCGGGCCTGGCCCGCACTCGCGGATCCAAGTCCGCCCCCACGCCAAGTACAACTCTTGCGGCCCAAATCCAACGCCCGCCCGCTTAAATCCATCCGATCCGCCTAACAAGCCCGCGCCACTCTCCGCGTCAAAAATATTATTGACGCCGCCAGGAATTGAACTCGCATCCTTCCTTCGCTAGACAAGCAACATCACCAATAGGCTGCATTCGCGCCTTGTGATCCTTAGGCGCAACACTCTTATTTCAACAACTCTTCAAGCCCCGACCCACAAAGCAACCGCGCCAAGTACAACTTGCGGCCCAAGTCCAACGCCAGCCCGCTTAACTGGCCCGCACTCGCGGATCCAAGTCCGCCCCGTCCATCCTTGCTCCACTCCACGTCAAAAATATTATATTGCTGCCGAAAGGAATTGAACTCGCATCCTTCCTCCGCTAGACAAGCAACATCACCAGTGGGCTGCATACGCGCCATGTGATCCTTAGGCGCAACACTCTTATCTTAACAACTCTTCGAGCCGCTTCGCCAACATAAAGCTAAGTACTCTATACCTCTATCATTATTAAATATTGAAATATTTTACTTTCATGAGCCTTAATGAAATACACAAATTGGGGGGCAAGACGAGGAGAGCTCCATGAAGAATCTACAATGGGTGAAGACTACACGCCTTAATGAAATACACAAATTGGGGGGCAAGACGCAAGAAGCTGGCACCGCGTCAGTCAAACGCGCCACCAGCTGGGGGGCAACTGGGGTACATAGGGCCCCACCCAAAATTACCGACGAAGATTTAAAAAATAAAATATAAGCTAGTTATGAGTTAAAACTCACCACCAGCTTGGGGGGCAATTGTTGGGGGTGTTGCTAAGAGACTCCCCGCAGAGACTAAGTAATACCGCGTCCAATCGACAACAGATGACGCTCTAAACCCGCTACGAGTATATAAAGGTATGAAACCCACCAAGGAAGGGGACTTCGGCCCTCTCTCCTCACTTTCCACTTTCTACTATCTCTCTACACTTTATCTCTCTATCTACTCTCTCAACTCCCTCCACAAACATACACTGACTTGATCGTCGGAGCTTAATCCGGGGGGCAACCCCGGCTCTTTCACAGGTTCTCTCCCTCCCGACGAGATCGGACGAACGGATGACGAGTCGACCCACACCAACAAATATCATTGTTCGTGTCCTGAGCTAGATGGCACAAACAGTAACCATGCCATTTTATAAATCAAAATAAAGACCCTCCTATTTACAAAATACATTGCAACATCATATGTCAAGAAGTAATTCTATTACTACCGAAATGTCAATTCAATACTACTAACAAACCAGGAAGGAAAAGAAAGTTTGGACCTTTAGGGATCAATTTTGTTGGTTGTAAAAAGCGTTTTTTCTTGTAGTGAATAAGTCACACCATGACGACCATTAGTATGGACAAATACAAGGATGACAACCAAAACAGTCGAGTAGAGAAAATTAGTTGTTGAGCGCCGTGAATATGGGCTTGAAATCCAAGCTGCGACAGTAGCGACCACGACAAGCCGACAAGGACTATGATCATAATAGTGACTCTATAACAATGAAGTGTTACGGTGGTGGAAGATATGAGATAGGGACCTCCTACAGTAACTTGTGTTTTTTGTAAGTTAGGTAACTTGATTTTTTTTGCACAAATCTAGGCCATCTAAATTTTAATTATGAAATTCTAACCATTGATGGGAATTAAAATAAAAACAGGCTGCGTATTGGCAACCGGCTGTACCGGTTGTACCTCTGGCCGAAAATTTCGCCGGAATTCTAATTCTAATAGGAAGAGTCGCCGGTTCGGAAGGGATTTTCTGATGCCCAATTAGGGTGTAGGCAACCAAATTATTTCCATTTTAAAATTAGGTTTTCCAATCCTGAGTGCAGTCGAATCCTTCTCTTCCGTTTGCCGTCTCTGTGTGCTGCTTGCGAGTTTATCGTCGTTCAACTGCCGTCTCTGGGTTTTGTCCATCCGTTCGACCAAGAACAAACAGGGGAGAAGCAGAGGAAAAGAAGAGGTATCAGCAATCGCATATCTTCCCACAAGGTATGTGTCTATTGATTAATAGTTTGAATCTTTTTACGATTTCTTTGGCTATGGAGAGTTCCCACGGCGGAAGTCGGCGTCGAGTGACCAGCTGCAATATGCAGACATGGCGGTGATTTTGGGGATAGACTAGGGAATTGGTCTCCGGTATGCAGTTTCTTTCCCCTCTCTTTGCTTTCCGTTGGATGTAAAATTCCGGATTCAGGGTAGTTCGAATTCGTATCAGATATCAAATCGATGAAGTTCAGGAAATCAAATCAATTTTGGCTTCAGCTTGCCCGCTTAGTCGGAATCCCACCCCACCCCTCTCCTCGAATTTCTTTTGTATTGTGGGAAGGGAAGCGGTTCAGATATATGGGCTGCTTAGTTTTATTAATTTACTTTTGTTTGGGGCTCTCGGTTGAGATAGAGTTGAGAAAGGGTCAGCTGGTAGCTTTGCTTTTATTGTAAAAAGAAATGGCAGTAGCTTTGAATTTTTTTTTTTTTTAATAAGCCATTGATAGCTTTGCTGTGCCTATATGTGTCCTCTGAAACAATTGGTAGCTTTGCTTCCATTAGTCATTTTGAAAGCAAACCAATTTTTTGGGCTCTAACTCATTGTCGTAACTGTAGTTTCTGCTTGTCCACTTTATAGATGAGCAAGGTCGATGAAGGTGTCTCCTCCGAACTCAATGATGAAAACCAACAAAGAAAAGAAAAGGTAATTCATTACATCTATTACTGGTCTCTTTGAGATTACTGTATGTGGTTAAGATTTTGATGTTGGTAAAAATTATCTTAATGAAAACATTATAATGTAGGTGTATTTGAGTAGTCGTTGTGGCGTACAAGAATTCTCTGGCCTTATAGATAGTTTGTCGGACGACAAAAAGCATCTCATTGAAGATATGGGATTTGGAGGGCTATTGCATTTGAAGAAGCATAAGTTGAAGTTGAAACTTTGTGAGGAACTTATGATGAGGTTTGATGTGACTACTAGTCAACTAAACGTGCATGGTAATCGTTTGACCCTACGTGTTGATGATGTTGTCACCATATTGGGTTTACATGGTGGAGGCATGGATGTGGATACTAATCTTGGTGAGGGAGATGAAGTGAGGGTCAGGTTTAATTTGGGTTATGGACAAATTAAATGTTCAAATCTAAAAACAGATATGATGAAGGATCTCACGGTCGGTGAAGAATTTAGAGGGAAATTTCTTTTATATTCAATGAGTAGACTTTTGAGACCGTCCACTGCAGTTTATGTTCCCAATAATTATTTGAGGATATTAGGCAATATTGATGACGTGGGAAACTTGAATTGGGCAAAATTTGTGTACGATGGTCTTTTAGAAGGAATAAAAGACTATCAAAACAAATTGGAAGGCACATCAAGAGAACAATCTGTGACGGGCTGCATTTTATTGCTTGAGGTACGTGAGTAGTAACTTTTTTCTTATAAGTTTTAGTCCAAATAAGAAGAGTTTGCATTGTCAGAATTTAAAATTTAATGTGATTATCTTATGTTTATAGATTTTTTACCTAGAGCACGTAAATATGCATAATGTGACTCGTCATTCAAGCTCCTTACCACGCATACGCCACTGGGATGACAAGTCAATTGGGACGATTGTTAAGAAGGTTTCTAGTTTGGGTGGAGTTGATAGCATACAGGTGAAACCTAGGTCTTCTCCTGATGTTTTAAATAATATATATGTAGCGATTGAAATATTTACTACAATTTCTTTGTATGCAGGTGGAATTTGGAAGGGATGGTGCTAGTTGCTTCACAATTGAGGTTGGAGTAATAATTTTCTATGTTATAGTGTTTCATGGATTAAATTGATGAAAACGAAGCATTTTATTTATCTTATTTTGTGAAAATTTCATTCATTAGTTATTTACATGTCAATTCGTATTAATTGTGTAATATTTTTTTAAAAAAATTTAACATTTGTGATTATATTCCTATTTGAAACAGGATGTTACAGCACAGATAGTTCAATTGAGGAATGAATTTCAACAAGAAATGCACTCTACAAAATCACAAATAGGTGACTTGAAGAAGGAAATGTCTGATTCTATGTCACAAATCATTACAAAATTGTCCAGCATTGAAAGCCACTTGGAAACTAAAGCTGCAAATAAAACCATAGAGGATGAGGCGGTGCAGGTTCGTACAAAAAAAGGCGAGTTGAATGATGATGCTATTGCACATGAGAAGACATTCGAGGAAGTTAGAACGGGTGCAGATCACACGATCAGTGAAGAGAATATGACTACAAATGAAGATTCAACTAATGTGTATGATAAGTTGAATAACATGGCTCGTGATTTCAAGGCAAAAGAAGATTTTGTGGAGCTTTCTGATGATGCAAGCTCACTTCTAAAAGCATCAACGCCTAAGGGAAACCACCTGGTAAAGTTTTAGGAGTTTAGCATTCGAGTCTACAAATTTAGTTTACTTGACTTTTGTTCATATGGTAATTTAATTGGTTTTATTGGTTTTAGGTAAAGCAAGGAAATAGGAGATCTGGTGCAATTTCATCTCAAAATGAAAAGAAAAGAAAGGCAAACCAACATGTAAGTGTATGCGTGTTCATTCCCTATGTATTCTCTAATTATTAGTGCTTGTGATTAGGTGATGGATAACATTATTGTTTCGTGGAGATTAATATGACCAGCTTCTATAGTTATTTTAATTTCTTGTGGTAATCTTGTTTTCGATTGTGGTAGGAGGAAGATGAAACAGATTCATTTGAGGCACTTATGGCTGGAGTAGATCAAAAGATTCGATCAAGAGAGGATTCAAACATGGGACTTCGAAAGAAAGAAGTACTCAAAGCCGGTCCACAATTTCAGTTTCCTTATGTGGCCGACAAACCAGCGGTAAGAGGTCGGGGTAGACAACAAGGTCCTAAACAGCAAGGTACTAAAAAAGGCGGTCGATCAAAAAAAAAATTAGATGATGATTGGGAGAATAAGGTACAATAAACTTGGATATTGTTCGACTAGAGTTTTTATCATTTAATTATTTTTGTGTTTATAATTTGAAAACTTGATAACTATAATAATTTCTTTTTGCACGAAGTTCAAAATCAAAGAAATTGACATAGATCCGGTGACTGCACTGCCAAATCCCGTTGAGAATTTATGGACGTTTCTACTTACTGAGAAGTTTCGAAACAGTACTCCAAGGTAGATTCTGACATTTTTAGAATAGAAAGTTGGGTTTTTTCACCTAATATTAATATTAATATATATATATATATATATATATATATATATTGTTCACTACTTATTGATATCATGTAGCACTACGTTGGTCGAGTTTGAAACATATACAGCAACAAGAGAAGAGCTTTGGAGTTTGCGTGACGGAGAACATGTTCAATCAGGAGTAAGTGCTATAGTATATCATATATAAAAATGAAGGGTATTTTTTAGGAAATTTCTAATGATTAATTATGTAGGTAATTAATCTTGTTGTTGCTGGGTTAACACTGGAATATCGGGACAATAAAGAAAGCGATTATTGGTTTATGCCCTGGTCATTTACCGTGAGTCTCTGCACGCTTGAAATTATATATGTTTTCGTTTATTTATACTTTATTTCTGAAGTCTTCTATTGTTCATCTAGAATAACATTTTAATGTGGCGTGAACGTCGAACTACTGAGCAGCTAATTCAAAGATACAAACGTCACTATATGGGAGACATAGCAACTTGTAAGCAGGTTAGAGAATCGTCCTTTAGAGATACTCTTTCATTCGCGTTGTGTACTTGGCCATTGTTAACATATGTTTTTTGATCACTTTTAGATTTATCTCCCCATATGCGAGCATGAACATTGGTACTTGGCCATTGTTAACATGGAAATCAAGGAGGTATATCTGCTTGATAGTTATGCTCTAAAGGACGATTCTCCCCGTAAAGAAAAGATAAGGCAGATAGTAAGTTTAACAACATGCTTGTGTTTCCAAGTTAGCAAAATATTCATATTCTATTTATTTTTAATTTTTGTGCTTTTAGTTGTCAGTTTTGGATGAAATGTTGCATCATGATAATTTCGAAGGAAAAAGTGAAGAAACCATACCATTATTGAAAACGTTTGAAGTGAAGTCAATTCCTGTCTTACAACAACCCAACACGTAAGTGGTTATTTTGACTCGAATTTATGTTTGAAATATTATATTTTTCTTCCTTGCATTCTAACACGGTCTTTTCTAATATACAGTACTGATTGTGGAGTACATGTAATTCAGTATATGAGACATTCTCCCAACAAATTTAGCCACATCGTAAGTATCATTCTGGAGAAAAATGTTCGGTGCCATCTAATTTTAGGCATTAATTGCTACCTCTTTTTATGTTCTTATGTAGATCTCGCAGATGCATGGTTTGGCTGCTCGAAAGGAAATAGTTTCATGGCTATTAGTGCATAAACAAAATAAAAAGAGTGAAGGTAACGTCTGGGGTGCTATGGGTATCGTTCGTCAAGATCCGGTTTACAGGGGGAGGCATGCTGTCATTCACGAGTTTTTCAATGCCACTCGACAGTCGAGTAAGGTCTGTTGATGCTTTATCAAAGCACACTCCTGATTTTGAAGCCATTTCAAATATTTTGTAAGCCTTTGCAACTAATGCCCCATGGCGCATAGTTTGGACAAGCTTATTGTCTAACAAACTTGGACCTGCATCCGTTGAACCTAGACCTTTTGCCTTCTTTGTCCACCGCAATTTGAAGCATGACAGAGGAATCATATGCAATTCTTTTAATTTAATAACATTCAGAATATGCCGACATGGTATACCCATTGACTCAAACAGTGAACAGGAGCATATAATTTTGTCTTCTTTGATATCATACTCCACAATTCTTACCCGAGAAGACTTTGACCATTGATGGAGCTTGAAAATCTCAAAGTCTCCTTCTTTCCTCATGGGCTCGGACAATAAATAGCTAGTCTCGCCTTTAAGTTCCTCCCTGAAAAGTTCAAACATAGTTGGCGTATACAACTCTTCAGCTTGCTTCTCATAGCCACGTAGGACATGAGAGCACACTGACTTTGAATTGAAGGCTTTGAAATCATCCTTCGACTCATTAAACCGTAACTTATCAACCATTCGTTCATATCTTTTCACAAATTCAAATAATGTCAACTTCTTGTCCACATACTTGTTAATGGTGCTATTCATTCCCTCGCAACGAGATGTAGTTGTCATACCTCCAAAGAACTTTCCTTTCAAATAAGCTTCACACCACATATGACGATCTGCATATAAACCTTTCACCCAAGGATGCTGGTCCAACTTTGTTTCTGTAACTAAATGCTGCCAGCTTTCTTCAAATTCCTCGACTGATATCCTGCTCTTCATGAACTTATTAAGGCCTTGCAAAAACATCAAACCCAGCTTCAATTCCCCTGCATTACGATCTATGTGCCAAGAACAAAGACGATGAGCAGCTTTTGGAAGCACTTGGGATATGGCTTGGCGCATCGCTTTATCTCCATCAGTGATGACCGACAATGGCTTTTTACCTCCCATGCACTTCACAAATGTATCCAACAACCATATGTAACTCTCACTCTTCTCATCTTTCAAAAATGCACATCCGAACATCACCGTCTGATGATGATGATTTACTCCTAAGAGCATGACTAATGGATTGTTATATTTTTGCCTCCGGTAGCAAGCATCAAATGCTAAAACATCTCCAAACAATGCATAATCAGATCTAGAAGTCGAATCTGCCCAAAACAAGTTACCAAGTTTATTACCCTCTTTCAACGTATAGTCGAAACTAAAGCTTGAATCTGCTTGTACCCTTCCCTCGAAGTATCCGATGGTAGTATTTGCATCACCACCTTTAATCTTGTTCTTTCGAATGGCTTGGACTTTATTCTCTACATCTTTCGGAATGAAACCCATATTCTGATAGCCTCCATGTTGTTCCTTGCAAATCTCAGTAATATGCCGTGTACTTACTCCAACTGTACTCAACGACTCAATCAAAGCTTCATCACCTTCTTTGATTTCGCGATGGGAACGCAGAAGATGTACATACTTGGATGGCACCAACTTATGATTGTGAGCCGATACAAGTGACTTGACAACCCATTTTTCAGTGTCGCGATCCAGATTTACACGAATCATCGCTGCACAACCTCCCCTAGTCAATCGTCGAGGCTTGCGTATACGAGCAGCATAGTTTATCCATTTTTTTTGACGATAACCCTCCTTTGAGCACACCCATTTCTGCATTAGCATTTGTCCACTACGTGACTGTCGCGAATCTCGTTTGCGAATGCTAAAACCAATTTGTTTTGCATAAGCATTGTAAAACAATTCAGCTCCTTCCAAGGTATCAAAAACCATGGCTAATATTGCTTCATCAGAAGGCATAGAGACAGCGGCCTTCGTACCTTCGTCGGTTTCTAGAGGATTCTCAACATCCGCTTTCTCTGATTCTGCCATCGGAGAGGTAGAGGGGAACCCAACGCAGTTGAGCTGAAGGAGAGGGTGGAGGTAATTGCTTGGTCGCCTTGTGAAGGCACGGACGATTAAGAATCGAACGATTGGAGCAGGGGCAGGCCGAGTCTTGTGGAGGAACGGACGTCTCAGCTAAATCGAACGACTGGAGCAGGGCATGCCGAGTCTAGTGGAGTTACGGGCGACTTCAATATCGCCGAGCTTAGCTTGGCTTCCGTCTCGGCTGCGATTTTAGTCGATTGAGAGGGAGAACGGATTGGATTTCTGTTTCTCACTTCCACTTTTCAGATGAACAGTCAAAATCGAGAGAGGGAAGGAAAGGCTGAGCGGCGCCGATTTTCACAATAGGTTAGGGTTTTCGTTTAGTCTGTAAGAGAGAAAGGCTGAGCGGCGCCGTTTGATCTCTGCAAGAAAATAAAAAAAAAATATCTCTAGGCCAAGGTTGTCAAACCGGTTTATGCCAGTGTGCCGGTTTAGCAAGTGAAATGGTTCAACCGGTGGCACATACCGGTTTGTGCCGTTCATGCCGGTCAATATTACAAATAAAATTATAAATACTCATATTTAAACATGACATTTAACGTCAATACCTAAACATTTATATTTGAATCCAACAAACAACATCAATATTTAACTTTAATACTCATAAAATAAACAATAAAATAATTTTTATCAATTAAATTCTCTAAAATATGGTCATTTTACTTAAAGATTCGTATATCGATCATGCCGGTCATACCGGTGGTGTTACGCCGGTTTTATGACCGGTACCGGTTGAACCCGGTACAACCGGTGGCACGCCGGCCGGCGTGACAACCATGCTCTAGGCTTACTCGAACCCGAGACCTAAGCCCACAAACACTTATCAAAGCACCAAACCACTAGGACTACGAAATTTTCTTAAAACTTTATTTCTTTCGATACATATTAATTTATGGTAATCTTAATACGCAAAATTTATACCGACCAATCGTGTCAAGACTTTTGCATTGGCTAAGTTACGATTACTTCTCGGTATCTCAAAATTTTAAAGCTTTGATTAAATTTGGCTTTAATTTTACATACACATATTCATTTTACTTAGAGATTTTCCTAATATTTAATCATGGTCAATAGGCAATGACGGTCATTCTCGATGAATTTCTTGCAAAGACAATCTAACATTCAATTGCTAAATTGAAAAATCATAAATACATTTCCTAAAAACTCAAATTATCTTTATCACAATCAATAGAACGTGTTTAGGATCATTCATTAAAATCTCTCAATTTTAATCGAACTACGTGGACTTTGATCCCGATTACTCGGGTACGTAGGCAACCAATACGTTCGAGTCCAACTAACACAAAACTCTTTCTTTAATTTTGAGAATTACGTCAATAGACTTATGATCAACTCATAAAAATAAATACCTAACTATTCGAATCATATAATTAAATACACAAATACGGTGCAAATTATAATGCATCCAACCTTAAAAAGCTTATCGATTTAAGTAGTACCCATTTGGGGCGTCGTGGGGTGTGAATACACTTCCCCACACGTAACCGTACTCCCGAACCTAGAGAGATCTAAATTTCGCAGACCAAATCCCGGTTCTGACCCTAAGGTTGGAACCAGACCAAAATACTGTTCGACCCAAATATGGTCGATGGCGACTCTGAGCGTGACGTAATGGATCCCCCAATTTGGGAGGTACGGTTGGAACAACTTCCATTCGACGATAGAAAATCATATTTCAATACATAACAACAAAGTTAAATAGAAAAAGGGTGTCATACTATATCCCATATAAAATTTTCACTAAAAATATACATTTCATAATATTGAAAATAGATCGAATGTAGTGATTGATATTGTTCATAAAATTATGTCTTGCTTAAATCATACTAAATATTAAAGATCACCAATTAATCGAATTAAGAAACGACAGAGAAATTGAATTGATTCATTGCAGTGGTTTACTTGTAATACGACTAACTAAAAAGTCGATTAATTAGTGAAACATAACCAATTCTAACCAATTTTCCTGGAAAAAATGGATCGGGCTGGATCAATTCTAACCAATTTAATCGCCCCGGAACATATAGCCACCCGTACTTTTAATTACCTAATATTTGCAAAAAAATAAAATTATATCAATATGAAACATAACCAATTCGATCTATTTTCCTGGAAAAAATGGATCGGGCTGGATCAATTCTAACCAATTTAATCGCCCCGGAACATATAGCCACCCGTACTTTTAATTACCTAATATTTGCAAAAAAATAAAATTATATCAATATGAAATTGAGTAAAATATGCTTCAGTTGGGAATTGAACCATGCCCAATTCATAATTATATAGCAACTTATCCACTAGCCTATATTAGTAGATTGATGCTATACTGCACGCACTATTTTATAGCTCTAGTTAATTTATACTAATTTCAGAAGCCTCAATAATTTATACTATTTTTTCAGCAATGCTAATATTCATTACATAAAAGAAGTCTCAATTACGTAAGGCTTCCGTAATGACATTTTAGAACTGTTACGTATAATACATATCCATTACGTAAGGCTTCCGTAAGACAGTTGTTTCTTACGTAACAGTTAAATCAGAAGCGTTACGGAAGGCTTCCGTAATACCTTCACACTTTACGTAATGCAATGCTA